ATGACCCTTGAAAAATGGTTGGTCATCACCCAAAATCATGGGGTCATGGAACCGTTTTTAAAGGGTCATGGAGACTCCAGGTACATCATTGATATGTTCCATCATGACATTGGGTACTGCACCCATACCATTCGAATTTACTTGGTGGGTAGCTACCTGGAGTCTCCATGACCCTTGAAAAATGGTTGGTCATCACCCAAAATCATGGGGTCATGGAACCGTTTTTAAAGGGTCATGGAGACTCCAGGTACATCATTGATATGTTCCATCATGACATTGGGTACTGCACCCATACCATTCGAATTTACTTGGTGGGTAGCTACCTGGAGTCTCCATGACCCTTGAAAAATGGTTGGTCATCACCCAAAATCATGGGGTCATGGAACCGTTTTTAAAGGGTCATGGAGACTCCAGGTACATCATTGATATGTTCCATCATGACATTGGGTACTGCACCCATACCATTCGAATTTACTTGGTGGGTAGCTACCTGGAGTCTCCATGACCCTTGAAAAATGGTTGGTCATCACCCAAAATCATGGGGTCATGGACCCGTTTTTAAAGGGTCATGGAGACTCCAGGTACATCATTGATATGTTCCATCATGACATTGGGTACTGGCTACCTGGGGTCTCCATGACCCTTGAAAGATGGTTGGTCATCACCCGAAATCATGGGGTCATGGACCCGTTTTTAAAGGGTCATGGAGACTCCAGGTACATCATTGATATGTTCCATCATGACATTGGGTACTGCACCCATACCATTCGAATTTACTTGGTGGGTAGCTACCTGGAGTCTCCATCTGACCCGTAAAAAATGGTTGGTCATCACCCAAAATCATGGGGTCATGGACCCATTTGTACATCACTGACCTGTTCCATCATGATTTGTTGTTTGGTACTGCACCCATCCCACTGGGCCCTATTGACAAAGTTTGACGTTTGGCAACTTGGCGAATGGTCTTTTGGTAAGGCGAGCAATCGCTGGGAAACTTCGCGGGCCACAAGATCTCGTTGCAAAGACCTGGAAGTGGTGTGAACGTTCAAGGAGGAGGAATCGGTTTTGGGTGGACCCCTATCGGTTTTGTGGGCGTTTGCAGATTTGGCTAACCCCAAAGCGCCACGAATGCACCAAACACTACCAATGATAGTCGAATACTCAGATCATTACTGCAACTACAGGCATGAACAAATGGGCAGAATCATGTTGTTCATCTTTGGCTTTTCAAACCAATCCAATCCAACCCACCAATGCATCAAAGTCAGCGCAAGTAATACCACCCTCCATCTTTTCCCCAAACGCTTCAATCACCAATCCCATCCAATCCAATCCCAATCCAACCCACCAATTCATCAAACTCAGGGCAAGTGATACCACCCTCCAATCTTTCCCCCAACGCTTCAAATCACCAATCCAATCCAATTTCATCCACCAATTCATCAAACTCCGGGCAAATACCAACCTCCAATTTTCCCCAAACGCTTCAATCACCAATCCAATCCCATCCAACCCACCAATTCATCAAACTCAGGGCAGGTGATACAACCCTCCAATTTTTCCCCAGACGCATCAATCACTAAACCGATCCAATCCAATCTACCAATTCATCAAACTCAGGGCAAGTGATACAACCCTCCAATTTTTCCCCCAACGCTTCAAATCACCAATCCAATCCAATTTCATCCACCAATTCATCAAACTCCGGGCAAATACCAACCTCCAATTTTCCCCAAACGCTTCAATCACCAATCCAATCCCATCCAACCCACCAATTCATCAAACTCAGGGCAGGTGATACAACCCTCCAATTTTTCCCCAGACGCATCAATCACTAAACCGATCCAATCCAATCTACCAATTCATCAAACTCAGGGCAAGTGATACAACCCTCCAATTTTTCCACAGACGCTTCAATCACCAAACCAATCCCATCCAATCCCATCCAATCCCAATCCACCAATTCATCAAACTCAGGGCAGGTGATACCACCCTCATCTTTCCCCAGACGCATCAATCGCCAAACTGGTCCAATCCAATCCACCAATTCATCAAACTCAGGGCAAGTGATACCACCCGCCAATTTTTCCCCAGACGCATCAATCACAAAACCGATCCAATCCAATCCAACCAATTCAGGCGATTTCATTCACAAAAGCTGCGCGCCGCCCGGGACGCGCCGGGGGACCCCGGCGCAATGCGAGCCATGACTTCGGAGGAGTCGCCCAGAAGCTCTGGGGCGGTCACCACCCACCTAGGTGGCTGCGTGTCAACCGGGACCCACAAAAAGATATGGCTATGGAATTTTAAGAGCTGGAACCACCTCAAAAGTGGTTGGTGGACATGAATCCCCACCGAATTTTGATGTTCACCAAAAGGTCCCCCCTTAAAATGTGTGGCCATATCTTGGTTGCCCTTGTGGTTCCCCGGGGAAAAGAGAAAGAGGTCACCTGAAAAACACAACACAGCTGGTGGAGATCTCGTGAATGACGCTTCATCAGAAACAAGCCAACATCCTCTGAGGCGTCTGGTTGCTGCTTATTTCTGCGTGGCATGATAACTCAAAGACCTGAAATAAAAACTTGGACCCGAACTCGAAACCCCCCTGAGCTCTGAGATTGATTGCTTTGTCGATTCCACTGATCCGCCCAAATGCAACCACCTGCTAGCAACCGGGATTGGATTCTACTTCTTTCTGGTTGACTGACCGTTCCATCTTAGGTCATCTCCATCTTTTCATCTTTCGACTGATCCTGCCTGCAAAAAGCGAACTTTCCGCCGCAAAGGAGACATCAAGGAAAGCCCTAAAGGTCGGCAACGCATTTCGCCAAATGTGGTAGTTGACACCTTGGGCGCACCTCCCAAACCAGCTAAATACACAAGCCCAGGTTACCCAACCAATAGGTACAGCTAGCACGAATTTGGACAAAAATCCCTGAGGTAAGTCTTGATATATACATATACATATAATATATATATATACAATATATATATATATATATATGTATGCATAATAGTATCATATACATATATATATATACAGTATATATATACTGTATATATATATGTATATATATATATATATGGAACCCTTGATTCTCTTCCACACCGATGTGTGCAGTAGAGGTTTCATCGTCTGCAATCAATTGGCTAGGCAAAGGGGTTGTTCCGAGGCCACGGCTACCCTTGTTCCCCCTCCATGGATTCCCCACAGCACTCCCTGACAATGCAAACTGCGTGAACCCCAATTTGCAAATCATGTGCTGTAAGCATCCCCCCAAGAAATAACCAGGGCCCGGTTCCCCTGGAAAAGGACGCCAACCACTAAAAGGCAATGACCCGGTCATGAGCGGAGGTTTCAGAAACGTTCTTGTTGGGCTTTCCGTTGCAAGACACGATGCTAGCGCCATCCATCGCATCAACTCCGTCAAACATGTACACTGCCGTGGACACTGGTTCAGAATTTCGCTCCGAGGTTTGAGCAACCAGTTTCCAAGGCGCAACGCTCCTCTGACAAAGGTCCTCTGAAAACCGGGGTCCGGGACCCATTCCCTCTGGTTTGCTGATCGGACGCTCCGAAGGAAACCAACATTTGGATTGGTCTCATTCAGATGCACTGGGAGGCTGTTGCGCAACCAACTCGGGTCCCAACAGCTTGGACGGCATGCGGCGAGCCTTTCCGGATGTAAGGGCTTGCAGCCAACATATCATGACCTGTCCTCCCCAACACTGATTGAGACAAAACTGTCTGAATCAGGAAAGTCTGACTTTTCTTTGGCTTTAAGCCATGCCCCCTAGTTGAAAGTTGGTTCTTGCTAGTTGATCCAGGCTGCCTACTTGAGATTTCTCAAACATGCCAGCATCATACCGTTTCCCGCACAGTGGGTAAACACACATGAGCATGAAACGGCGCAAGTTGAAAACCACGAAGCCGATACCCAACACAACATGTCTGCCCAGATAATGATGACAGGGCTTCCCTCGTTCCAACACTCATAAAAGTTCGCAGAATGGTTTTGACAGACTGTCCTCTTCTTAAAAAAGGCCCTGTGTCCACTTGCATGGTTGTTGGACAATTGATAATCCCTCTCACACACACACACGTGCCGAGCTTCAGGTTCCTCTGCAACTAAATATCAAGTTTCACAACTGCATAGAACCCTAACGGAAATTGGGATGGTGTCTTCACTGTGCATGCTCGTGGAAATTGGCGCGCGAAGCCTCTCAAAAGGGACACCGTTACCAGTCAAAAGGTTACGAACTCGCGATGAGCACCAGAACAGGCTTGTGGGTGCTCTAAAGCCAGAATAAGTCAGACAGTCGCAGGATTGGAATCGAGAAGAACGTTGCAACCATTAAGAGCTCCTTATTTGGGCTGCTCCTAAACTGAAACAAGAAGACAAGAATACCAAGAATCAAAGCCCTCGCTGAGCCCACCGGCTGGCCGCGGTCCTGCGTACAGGCACCCGAAACAAAGCATCGCAAAAAGGCGTCCAAGTGCCCTCCAACATACTCTCAACCTTGGGTTCGACTTCTGCATTGATAGCCTTCAAGGAAAAGAAACAAACACCAGTCGACCCCGGATGCACCCAATCCCGATCCCCACCTACCTGCAACATGGAGCCCAATCCACCCAGTGTTTCGACTTCTCACCCCCCTTTTTTGGGGGTATCGTGTAAATTTGCAGAGGGCATAGTAAGCTTTTCCCAGGATGCCTGACAAGTTCAAGCCATCCCCTTGAGGATTCTAAAACGCAGGCGGGGGTCCAAGGCGGGCTAAACAGGGCTCCTTGCACGGCCTCTTTCAACATGACTCCAAAGAACAACTCCATCACCAAAATGTGTCACACAAGGTGATATTTACCCCCCAAAACATCGAAAACCAGCATGGGCAACATAAAGACCTCCCAACGGCTTCCTTGGAGTTTCTTGGACAACCCCTCAGGGAGGCGCTTGCGGAAGGGACCCGCTCGTTGCGGGCTCCGCCCGGGCCCGCGGAGCGCTTGCTTTTCGCCCTCCGCCGCTTAATTTTTCGCCGAGTGCGACCCTTCGCTGCACGGTCCATGTCCGAGGTGCGAATTGTCACGTCCTGTTCGATTCAAAGATGAAATGGCTCAACATGTTCAAAGCATATTTCCATTCATCTAAAAACAATGCAAATAAATTCAACACATCATACCACTCAACACCCTCATCAAACTCAATTGATACTCCATACTTTTGTCGGGTTGACTGCGAAGTGAAGGGAACCTCACCGCAGGTTGAAAATAGGAACAACTGAGGTCTGGTATCTCTACAAATGGCTTTTCAAGCTCCTTCACCAAAACCTGGTGCCAACCTCATGGGTTCGACTTGTGTATTGATTGCTTTTGAGGATAAACCCCGAAACGCCTGTCGACCCGGGATGCACCCTGCAATACTTAGGGGCTCTGACCCGGACCATCCAGCTGGGTGCTGCGACGAAAAGGAAAAAGAAACGCCCAGACCTTAGCGCAAGCCTGGAAAAAGCACGGCGCAACACGTCTGCGATACGTCTCTCTTCCGTTGCACTTTTCGAATGAGTCTGTTCTGGACTGAGGGAAGCCAAAGCAACAATGTCCCGTCATATTCTCTGGAAGAAATCATCTGTAGAAAGGCTGTGCAGTTGCATGCTTTCTAAATTGAGTGGGACTCGCAAATCTGGTGCACAATATCCTCCACCGCGGGACGCGGTTCCATGTTGTAAGCAGATTATGCACATCCTGTTTTCAGTAGTCTTGCCATATCGGGCTTCCTCAAATTCCCCCCAATGTCAACCCAAGAGGAAACTCATCTTTCATGTGCCTAAAAGGTAGTGTTTAAAGCCACCGAAAGCGACGCAGCCATAGGTTCCAACTTTGGCCAGGCTTACGTCTTGAGAACTTGCCTTGCAGGTCAGCGGGAACGCGCCCACACTTAAAAGCAGCTCTGACCCACAAAACCAAGAGACATACTCTGTTCTATCCACTCAAGGAGCTTGTGGAAGCTCCATCACACTCACGACCGTCCATCTGAGGTCTAAGCTTCGGATGAAGCTTTAAAGAAAGGTCGCCAACCGAACACGGGTTCGACTAGGCTTCCGGATCAAACCCATGGAAGCTCTGCAAAATGTTGGCATTGTCGAACACTGCAGCTGTTTTGAGGTCTTGGGGCGATATCGTTCTTTTGGGTTCCTGCAACAGGTCAATCGTTGTTCCCACGTGAAGTCACAACATACCGAAGAAGTTGTGATGCTAAGTATATGTTGCCTTCTTTTCATGCTCATGCCCCCGGCACCGGTCTGCTTGCCGCAGATCACGACAAGGACTTCCTGCCAGGTTGGCAGGATAGGTTTTGATCGAACCGGGCTCCCTGCATTTCCCGTTTAAACATTTAGGAGGTTTACCCCAAGAAAGAAAACCACCATGGGGGGTGATCAGGGCTTCCCTATTTCCGTCCTGTAAACATCACCCTGATAGTACAACCAAAAGGCGATGTCATAATGTTCAAAACCAAACGGGAAGGCCCCTGAGGGTATAAACTGGAGCACGAATTTGAAACAAAGACATGGCTAAAAGACATGGGCTAGCAGTCAAGGCTTCCAGCAACGTGCCGTTAAAACAGGAAATCATGTCAAGATTCACTTCCAAGGCTCCTTCACACCACCTGGGAAACGGTGATGCTCAACCTGGATTCCTCATAAACAATGCAAGTAAAGGTGTTGACGAGCAGGGCTCAACAATCCTCGTCTTCTACTCTTGTAAAGGGAATGCAAGGGGGCATCAATTATCCACCAGTATATGAGGTGTGACTCTGCCTGCAGATTAACATGGAACCCAAACCCTGCAAAGAACATTTTGTTTAATTAAACACCACGGGTTTGGGGGATCCATCTCAATCTGCAGAGACCACACAGCGAAGGCTTGAAGCGTCGGTTCGATGTAGACTACCCCCTTCTCATTACATGTGGGTCCAAAACCCTGTGGGCCATTGTCACGGCTTGTTAGGATTCCTTGTCTAACTTCTCCAAGGGTCCGTGACGATCCCTAGCACAGGTAACTTTGTGCTTTGACCATCTGTGTGTTCACTCGATACAGCCGCAACTGCCTCTGAATTTGCCTTCTGCCACTCCCATGTGAAGCGTTCCAGGAACCAGGGACGCGGAGTTTGATTCGATGCGCTTTGAAACATGCAAGCTGGTCATTCGGGAAACAAACTAGCAGAGGTGCAGGCAGAGCAAGGATTGGCCCCACTGAAGCAGGGTAGCAATTTGTGACTTAGTAGCAAATGGTGCAACACGGGCAAACCACTGTAGCTGATTCTTCTGAGCCATGGGTCACAAGCGAACTCTTGCATGAAAAGCAAGCAGCAACTTTCTTGGCTGTCTATTGCGCAAAGACTGCGCACATCTTCCCTAACCCTCAATGACATCAGATTCTTCAGAACACCCATGCTGCCCATTCCTGTCTCCATGGCAACAACTATACACTTCTCTGACTGGC